AGACATTTCCGTGCTCGTTCATTAATTATTAATTTCAATCACAAAAAAGAGATGACCTAATTCCTTAAGTACAGTCGATACACTTTATTATTTGCTCAGCCCGCATGGCATTTTTATGATGTAAACAAACATTTCGACTTTTCTCCCGTTACGTTACATACAGACTGTATGTTATGATTTTGTGACACACTTTCAAGCTGTTAAACAACGCTCTCTTCCAAAGTTGATCGATTAAAACGAACCTTGAATTTGTTCAATCTCTCCTGTTGCTCCTGAGAGAGAGCTCCCAGGTCATCTTGCCCGGATAAATCATATGGTTCCATCCCATGGGGAGGTCGATGTTGAGGTTTGTCAGCCATTTTGCCTATCGCCTTGGTAATACCGGAAATTGCCTGAGTGCATAAGCGGCTGAGTTTTGTCGCTTAAATCCTTACAAATTTTAAGGTGACTGTCACCGTATATCAAATAAAGGCAAATGTCAAAACTAATTTAAAATGTGATGATATTTAAATTGTGTCAGTTTATATGGGTATAGCTGATATTTTTTTTGTGTATATTTAAATTTATAACAGTATCTTTTTTAATTCCCAACGCGACCAGTGACGCGTTATATATTACAACTCTCCGTAATACATGTTCAGAAAAAACTATATTTCATTCAGAACAGTGACACTTTGGAATTAATTGCCTGAACATATGATTTCAGCACTGAATGTTAATCCTTTAAAAATTGCTAGACAATCACTGAAAACATCAAAAACTTTTCTTCAATTACAAAGCAATTGACAATCAAATCATAGACACCAATGTACACGAACATGTATGTATACTGGTTATAAATATATTAGACATTTTAATATTCAATTTATTTATTCGAGAGTCTGGTAAAGAGGGCTTTAAAAGTCCTTAATCGGAAATAAACTTAACTAAACTTAATTTGTTTATCCAACCCATGTGTAATTAAAGGTCCTTGTAAAATCAGCATAAAAATGGTTTTGTAAAAAAATATTTTTGCCATGACTTTACTTTCCAAAAACTCATTTCTGCAAATAGAACGGAGTCTTACGGTTATTTTCTATGAAAAATATGTAGGTAATAAAAAATATTATTATTTTGAGTGTGAATTGAGCCCGAGTCATCGATCAATAACCTGGTCATCGCTAGCACACTGCCCCAATCGAACGATACTTATACGAAACTTATGAAACATTGGTATGGAACTTCTCTAGTGTTCTACTGAGGATTAGTTAACCTCGATTGCAACTTTCAACATCATCAACAGGCAAGGTTTACTGGTGAGCTGTACATGTACAATAGGCGTGACTATTTAAGGTTTCAAATAATGAACTTTCCCTTTCTTGATAGTGACTTCTATATTTTCTCAACAGATTCGGTATTCAAGCGTTTGCCCCGAATGTCATGATTTTGATCTGTGATATGTTTTGACTGGTGATGAACACCCTGACAATACGGTGTTTCCAGAAATGCAGGCGGATGAAGAATAAGGAATAAGGAAGTTTTATGGTCGCAGTTGAGAAATATACTTTTTTTCTTTGTGTGATATAAGGTCGTTTGCCTTTAATTCCGTGTTGACGCTATCCTGGTTCTCGTTTTGAGGACGTTGCAATGAATAGACCAAGAAATCCACGACGAGTGTTGTCAATGATGCAGACAGCACTTTCCCTTCTAGATCGATTTCTTTATTAGTATTTGACACTAATGTTATCGATTTAGAATTACAGTTTTGTTGAAACTTCGGTGTTCACGTGTGTTTTCTTTTTTCAGTTTTTTAAGCTGTGAAATGCACCTTGCTTTTGCGGTCCTAAATTAGGGAAATATTAGCGCGTAAGGTAAAAAAAAAAAAACCATTCTATAGTTCACTGCGATGTGATCAATATTAACCCATTCAGACCCAATGTATCATAAACCTGGGGTATATTTTCGGTGTGTGTATTGATTCAGCGTCAAAATGTCACATTTACTCAGCAAAAACAGAAAAAGTTGTTCTGACAAGGGATACCGAGGACACAGATGAAGAAATAGCTCAAACAAGTGTTAGAGCTAGAAAATCCAGAAGCAAGACTCCGAAAACAGCCTCATATGACTGGTCCCAGATTTTGAAACTTGTTCTAAAACGTAACAAAGATCAGTAGGCGAGAAAGGCGGCAACTAGTCATGTCATTGCACGTTCCTCGGGACTTGGGTAGTTCTAAACAATAGGATTACCAGTCTCTAGTCAAAGCCTCAGAGGAAAGATTTGCATGTCCAAATCAGTCAGGACTCTATAGAGTTCATTTGATGGAAAGGCATTAGATGGTCTCCTGAACTCGGACAAGCCATTGGACGGCTTGTTAATTTGGCATACCGATCGGTGCCAAATGATATTAGGGAGACATAGGGTATGTAACAATTCAATGAAGCACTTGAAGATTCCGTGATGAGCATACGAATTCAGCAGGCTAGGTCGGAGAATTTTACAGATGTATTACAGCTAACGGTCGAATTGAAGGCACACAATCGCTGTGAGAAAGTCATTCATACATTAGGAGTACCAGTACCAAGATATATGTGGGGTCAGAGATGCTGAAACTACCACAAGACATGTAGAACAAGTAAGAGTCTTTGGGAAAAGATTTATGAAAAAAAGTAAATTGGAAACAAACAGAATTTCAATTCTCCAGTCTTAAGAATAGTGTCAGAGTGGATATTTAAGCCAATCCATGAATCAGCTAAAGCCAGGTTAACAAAGGTTCATCTCGATGTTCTGACAGCCAGTCGCGAGAAACTTCAAATAAACGGAAAATGAAGTTTTGTTATTAGACTGGATGGCTCTATGTAGAATGTTTGGTTTGTTTGTGTGTTACGTCCTATTAACAGCTATGGTCATTTAAGGTCATTCGTGGTGGAGGCAAGCCGGAATTCCTGTAGAAAAACCACCGACCTACGGCCAGAACCTGGCGACTGCCCCACATGCTTTCAACACACCCTTTGTGCAGGAAAAAAAAAACAAAAAAACTTTCTTGGTATTTAATAAAGTTGCTCCCGTAGGAGCTAAAACAATAGCACTTGCGGTCATATTTCAGGCCACAGTACGGGGTATTGGGTATAGTTTTCTTGTATTTTTTGAATATCTGAAATTCAAAATCCTCTGGTGAAATAACAATACATTCCCATCAACTATTCAATTATGTTTACAGTTTAAACACAATCAACACGTCATTCATTTTGCATTTTGAAACAACTGAACATTATCTACGAGTTTAAAACCTGCTTATTTACGCAAAAACATGTTTTAATTTAATGACAATTTATTTGTTCCGTAAAACCTTTTTAACTGATACTCCCTAACTCACTACCCCTGTTACCTGTAAAAATAACTTTCAGAACTGATTTGAAAGTGAGATCGTTTGGTTAACATTGTTGTTGTGGTATATCTTCGTGTTTCTGTTAAATCCGGATTAAGAAACCTTTTTTTTTCTGGCAAAAGTTCATAAGTACTTACTAACTGTTAAATATTCGATTTTTGCAGAGATAACTGTATTGAATCCCGTTTTACTGTGTCCCTATATTGTTGGCAATGAAATATGCTTATTGAGGATTCATGTAACTATATATCACGTTTAGCTCCAAATAAACAAGCAAACTGTTATGTTTATTAATATATATGTTTTTAGAAAAACGTTTGCCAAACATATCATGTATTTGTTGAGCTTATTGGTTAATTATTAAATTGATCGATTAACCGGTTTCTCGATTTGAAGATTTTTCGAGTAACCGCCTCTCAAAATTTGAACAATTTGGACAACCCTCCTTAAAAATCAAATGTTTAAACTATATGTAAGTACCTTTAACTTTTGCAAGAAACTACGTTTCTTAATTCTTAGGGTACAGAAATACTTAGATATACCACAACCTCAATATTAACCAAACTTTCTCATTTTTAAATCATTTCTAGTTATTTGTGACGGTAACAGGGACAGTGAATTATGGAGTTTCAGTGAATAGATTCACAAAACAGATCAATTGTCTTTACAGTAAAACGTGTTTGCGCAAGTAGGCATGTTTAAATACCCGTAGATAATGTTCAGTGTTTCAAAATACAGAATGAATGACGTTTTACTTATGTTTTAACTTCGACCATAACAGAATAGTTGATTGGAATTAATTATTATTTCATTACAGGATTTTGAATTTCAAATATTCTGAAAATAACAAATATGGTCTTGAAATGATTTGGAACAAATTATTCTGTACTAAGGTGTTCACGGTCACAAAACACCTTATCAGCCTCCCTTCTTAAATATTTAAAGCAAATAACATTCTGCACATCATCAGCTTTGCGCAGTGGCGGTACCATAGTCAATGAGGATTTTCCGAGACGTGGTTATTGCTAGTTGAAAACTATACCCAATACCCCGCACTGTGGCCTGAAATATGGCCGCAAGTGCAATTTTTCTTAGCTCCTACGGGAGCAACTTTATAAAATACAAAGGAAATTGCATTTTTTCATTCGCGCTCAAAGTAATCGAAAATGCTTTGTGTTTCACAATGGCAAATCCTGAATGATGCATCGAGGGTCCAAACATTTTGTGTCCCTACAATTAATTTAAAGCAATCAAGTAGATCAGACTCACTTCTCAACTTAATCCTTGTCGGCACACACCATTGCATTTCAAGATTGCAAAAGGAACAAAGCTTGCTTGAAAACCAAGGACACTTTACCAATACATTCCAAATTTTCAAAAGACAAGCTTATTAAAGATTAATTTTTAAGATTTGCAACATGTGCATTATTGTATTGAGCATATATGTTGTCTTTTTTACATACCCTATCAAAGGCAATGTAAAGTTGTAACTTTCTTGGTATTTTATATAGTTGCTCCCGTAGGAGCTAACAAAAATTGCACTTGCGGCCATAT